TCCTTTAATAATTAGTTAAGAATTGAGTTTTATAATTTGTTTAATTTTTTTTTGTGAGGTAATCAGGTTCTCATGGCTCTTGGTGTGGGTTTAGTTTGTTGGAAATTAGATTTCAGGGTTTTTTCCATTTTTTTTTCTTTTAAGTTTTCTTGGTCCTAGGTTTACTGGATTAATTCAGGTTAAATAAGATTATTTTTTCATTTTTTTTGTAATTTTTTTTAATTTTATCATTTAATAATGAGTTGGATTAGAGTTCAGTTTCATAAATTTTTGCAATTTTCTTTCTATAGGGTAATTCTATTCTCATGTCTTGGGTTGCGTGCACAGCAAGTTTACCAAGATTGACTTGAGTTGTTTTTTTCTTTAATATTAATTTTTTATTCTTTAATATTTTTTTTTATTAAAAATTGAGCTTTCTAATTTTTTTTTTTAATTTCTATGAGATTAATATTATCTCATGATTCAGATTACAAATTTTACAGATTAGCTAGATCAATCCAATATATTGTTATTTTAATATTATAAAATATATCATTTAATAGGCATCCGATATTGAGTTCATGGTTAATTTTCTTATATTAAAAAAAAATGTTGGCAATGCTTCTGTTTTTTTCACATATATTTTTTTTTTAAGTATCCGTGGTTATACATTTATATGTGCAGCCCTCGTTTTGCTCTTGAGTAATTTGCCTTCACTAAATAAAAATTCTAACACCATGTGTGAATTTACTATTATCATCGTGTACAGAAATATATTGTTAGTTTTAATTGCAATTAGTCCTTGTAGTTTGATAAAACTAATTATTTATAGTTTTTGTGATTTTATAAACCATGTATTTTACATCCCTTCAGTCAATTTCATATTTTTTCTATTTTTTAAGTACATAACAATAATAATATACTTGAATATTTTTTTTGATAAAAAATATATTAACAATGTACTTGAATATTTTTTTTTTACATAAAAAAATAATCCAACCCAAGCACGTAACAATAATAATGATCTCGCAAAACCACTAAGAGGAGTATATTATTATTATTATTATTTTTATTATTATTATTATTTTTATGAAATAAAAGTGAAATACAAGTACAAGTTTTTTCACAGAAAACGTTGTGGACGTGGGGAGTGACGAACCTTTTATTCGTTTAAGGGTAAACTTCAAATATAATCTTAAAGTACGGAGATAGTATCAATATTTAATTATATCCAAACTACTTTTTATATCAATTTTACCTTTAAACTATATATTTAGTTTTTCAATTAAATATTTATGTTGGAATCACATAAAAATAAAAATAAATATTAAGTTCATTGCAAAATGATGTTCGTTAATGTTACCAAAAAAAAGGTACAACTTAAATAAATGTACAGATAGAAATACTTAAAATGAATATAAATTTTAAAAAATTTAAAAGTAAAAAAAAAAATTATTTGATGATAAAACTGAGACTATATATTTGGGAGGTATCTTTAAGATTTTCCCCTCGTTTAAACATTTCTAACTATCAAGGCCAAACAAAATATAGCAAAACTTATATATTAAATTATAACACAAATTACATTTATATATATAATCTTTTTAATACAACCAACTTAAACACAGATAACTAAATTAACTTGGTAAGTGGATGTGTTCTTCACATTATTATCAGATATTTGATTTCTAAGGAAGGCTACAAGAAATTAACAGTTTACTGTTTGTAATGTAAGACAAGCATTAAACGTAGTTGCTTCACTACTGATGAAGTAATTAATTAGAGAGCGTGCCTCTACTCTCCAAACCGTAGAATCTACTGAAGCCTCAAGATTATACTATTTCATGTGTTTATGTATCAATACATAATCATAGATGAAGATGAACACAGTTTCACAACTCAAAATATAGCCGTTATACTTGTAGAGAAGATCTTGACAGGGGGGGAATGCAAAGAAATTTTCAAGGAGAGTAAGTTATAGATATTGTTCCCATCTTCTCCTTTTTATCAGTTTTTTTTTTTAATTATAAGCTGATATTTCGGTTTCAAGGAGAGTAAGTTATAGATATTGTTTCCATCTTCTCCCTTTTATCAGTTCTTTTTTTTAATTATAGCTAATATTTTAGTTTATTTTTGCGTTTCAAAAATATTTTTTTAAAATTTTTTTTTATTATTTTTTATTTCAAATTAATATTTTTTAATGTTTTTAAATTATTTTGATGTATTAATATCAAAAATAATTTTTTAAAATAAAAAATTTATTTTAATATATTTTCAAATAAAACATATTTTAAAATACAACCACTATTATACTTTTAAACACTTTAAACTTAGACTCCTCGTGATCAGTGATAAACCAATCTACATCCCTGTAAGTTTTTTTCTTCTAAATATGAACGTCCATTTCAACTGCCTAAGAAGCAGGTGTCAGAAATTCGAACTTATTAAAGTTATATGAATCTTGGATTTGGGTTTACCCCCTAATGGGAAACCATTCATGATTCAAGTCCAGCAGTGTTGATGCATCGGTTCCAATATAAATGACCTATTTAAAGACCATTAAAATCTAAACTTGCACCAGGAAGAGGAGGAGGAGGAAGAGTAAATTTGCACATCTAGCATGCCTAACTAGGAGACTGTTATAATTTTGCGTGAAATAACCATTGATTAGTATACTTACATGTTTAATAATCTTGCAGACTTATAATTTACAAGTTCTTAAATTAGTGTTGCTATTACACTATGTATACTATGACGCTGCATATAAAGGTGACAAGATATTTGTAATGGATTATATTCCCTCACTTTCAATCATTATAAAAACTTTGCTAAAAGCAAGTTTAAGTCAAGACAGAGACGCCCAGATGCATGTTTTGTTAATATTTGCCATTGCCACAAGTCTAGAAGAACGGGCAGTAAGATGGTTTCCTTTTGGCAATCAAAGCATCATGCTGTCTTCGCTTTTGATTTTGAGGAGTTCAATCACTTTAAGAAACTTTTGTAACAAAGACTCAAACCATACCCGCCTTCCTATATTGCCTGCACTATACACGAGAGACTGTAGTTTTAAAACTAAGAATAAAACGCTTTGAAATATCTAACACCAGCACTGCAGTCTTGTCATCTTCAAAGGGAAAAGAACTGCTTGTCTCCCTCGATCAAAGTGAACAAGGGAGAATTTTCATAGCTGTTTTCCTTTCTTTTTACCCTTTACTAAAAGTTAAATTGTGGTCTGGTGCCTCTGCTTTTTGCATGGATAAGAAAACTTGAGAGCTACAGTTTTGGGGTTGGATTGAATGACATTGGGGTCACCTCATAAAACGCATGCATGCTGAACATCTAGATATAGGTTTTTTTTATAAAAAGGAGTTTTCTTGGTTTTTAGCACAATAAAAAAAAACGGTGTAGAAAATATTTAAAAATCTAATAGAGTGTCGAGTTGCAAATATTATTTATAATTTTATATAAAATTAAAACCATGATCCTCATTTTTTTCCCTTTCTCCTTTGATTTCCCCCCTTTCTGTCCTTGTTGGCAAAGCGACCTTCCTCTTTACCTGCCCCCACCCCACACTTCGAATCGAGATCATCCCCCTCTTTCTTTCTCCCCCGTAGATCAAGCCATTTCCAGTCAAAAGTGCCACCACCGATCATCACAACCACCACCCACATTCTACACTTAGATGTGTATTCAACACTTTTTCTTTATTAATTTAATGTAATTTATGTTAATGTATATTAATTTGATTTTAAAAAAACAATAGGGTTTATAATGGGACAAAATCCTGGCCACCCCACTTTACTATAAAACAGTACAACCGATCAAATCCATATGATGTGCTCTCAATTAGAGAAAATGGATGCTTAGTTAACAGTGTATTAGAAAAGAAGACAAACTTTTGATATTTAATTCTTAGTATTTTATAAAAAAAATCTCAAAGTTTCTGATTTTAAATCACATAAAACGAATTTATTCAGCTAAAATAAAAATTAGAAAACTACATTAAATTTCTGTTCATGAATAGTTGATAGATTGTAGTTAGAAGATACAGCGCCTTTTTATATTTTTATTGCAAGAACTTCCAAAAATAATAATCATTAAGAAGTTTTCATGATTTGTTTTATAAAGCTTAATAAGAAACTGAAACAATATTTTCTCCATAATGTGGTTAAGTTAGAGTTTTATATGTTTTTCATAAACAAAAAGGCCTTCGTATTTATTTTTTCATTGAAATGCACATCAACAGCTATTGTTTTAATTAAAATTAAAAGAAGATATTTTGGAATTTTCAAATTATAAATAAATTTAGTTTAATTAATTAGTTGATGAAAATAAATAAAATCAAATAATAGAACACAAGTATGATAACAAATAATCTAATAGATAAGAAAGTTCATAGCATAATTTTTTTTTATTTGATTTTGAGATGAATGTACATGCTCCTAGCTATACCAACAATACGAAATAAAATCTCTATTAAGACACAAAGAAGAGGTGGTTATTGCTATCTACTGCGTGCCTATGTCAACAAAATTTGTGCGCTTGAACTATTCCAGGAACATTCCAGCTAGCGCAATTCTTTTCTCCCCGCTCTAGACTCATTACCAACACATGTAGAAGAGTCCTTCCTGCTATCCAAACTATGTCTCTTGATGGACTAGGATTTATAGTATTTTCTAGTAACTTTTTGTTGGCTGAAGCTTATTTTAACAAAATTTAAAACTTGCTGTGGAGTCATCAATCTATCAATCTTAGGGAGAAGAAAGTTACCATTTGGTCAAACCTTGTTCAAATCCATGAAGTTCACAGACATCTGTCACATGCCAGTGACATCACTTCTCGAAAGAAACCAGTGGAAAGAAGTGTATCCACCTCCTCTGTTATTGCCTTTTGCCTCTCTCCCCCAAAATTTGTTTTCTTCTACCAAAGCCACCACCCACCATAGCCAAAACGCCACCACGCACCATGGCCAAACCATCATCAAACAATGGCCAAACCATCATTGAAGCCCTTCTAGCAACACTCCAATTGCAAGCAAAATATCAAAAAGCCTTTTTGAACACATATTAAACACCCACGTACATATACATATATAACACCATCACCCACCACAGACTTCTTCCATGATCAAACTACCATCAAAACCTCATTTACAACACCCGCAACAAAGGTAATGTGCCTAGCAACATTGAAGCTGGTGCCGACATCAATGATAACAATGACGGTTTTAGTAACAATGATGACGTTCACCTAAGCCACAATAACAATGACAATGTTGGCAACCACTCTGCAGCCAACACCGCGGCCTCAACCTTAGCCTCCTACACTTCCACAGCCACCACATCACCATACCCAGGGCCACTGCCACTGCCAGTGTTATAATTTGCATATTCATAATTGAGGTATGCTAGTAGGCATTCGGGCATGTTCAATGGTATTCTCTTGATATAGAGTTGTTGTTTTGTGTAATGAATGAGATTGACACAACATGCATGAGTTGAGAAGAAACATTAGGCTCTTTTTTTTCCTCTTTATTCATCTACCTTTTGCTTCGAAAGGAACGTAAGGGAAAAAAATAAATTCTTAACACTAACAAATTGCTCTTAATTGGCTATCACAAAGAAAAATCCTTAGACTTTCTCAATAGCTACTCATAGAACAGTTTGCCTTTATTTTTTGAAACTTGAACCAATGGACCCTAAACAGAAAAGCACACTTGAGGGGAAAAAAACAGAGAGGAAAGAGGAGAATCTACATAATAATCTGAGTGGGAGAGGGGACGGCTGCTTCCAGCATGCCTAGGTGGAATTGAAATTGAATTCAATTTATAAATTCTAAACTAAATTCCTTAAAAAAAGTGACCAAATAGCTGAAATTCACTGCAAGTTGGTCATTATCTTTTGCAACAAGAATATCTCAACCTCCCTACAAGATTGAAATGAACTTTCCAGCTATCAGTCAACTCATGATTTTAAATGGAGGGGGGGGGGATTTGTTACCTACCAACAAAATTATTATGACAATGCCAAATTAAAAACATATGCTCTCTTTGGGTCAGGATCCAATTACTTAGTGAACTAATTGAAAGGAGAACATTTTGTGCCTCATTATTGCCTTATTAATTTAGAAAAAAATGTTTCTTTGATATGTTGCTTACCATTCAGAAGCACATTATTAAAAGGATATCCACAAAAAGAGTAAAAAGAATGGCAAGCTAGGAGCCAATACTAGCCAATCCATCCTTAGAGCTGGCCAAGAAGTACTGGTCGTCAGACTGAAGTGATACCAAACTGGAGATTCAAAAGAAGGTAGAAGTCATATAAATTGAAAGCAAACATTAAAACTAAAACCAAGAATTACATGTTTTAGAAGCCCACTAACCAGCATATAGATAAAGGCATAAAAATAGTATGAGAAGAGTACATGTTTCCTTTGACCTGCAAAACATCACATCCAGGGTATTGACCATAATTTCACTGAAATGAGCAGTTCCAAATGCTCAAGCTCATGTTCAATGCGTCACACAAGAGGAGAAGTTATTTTGTAAAACAATTGCTGCAGGAAAGGAAAAGAACTGAAAAGGAAAGAAAGCACTATTTATCTGAAATCATCTAGTTCAAATATTGCACAAAACAGACTTGCCGCAATGATCCAAATTTTCACAGACTAGCTCTTCACTGAACAAAATAAATACAAAACAAAACAACCAGCTGGGAAGTTGCCATTTGCTTCGCTGTAGGAGGAATACAATGCAAAAAAAATTTAAGAGCGAAATTCCAATGATATTGATCTATCTATGATTTAGGTTTTATCTAGCAATATAAAAGTAAAAATAAAAAAAATAAAACAGCACGGTAAAATTGGGATCAAACCCATGAACTGCTGCTATTGAACTTGTTTTTTTTTTTTTTTTTTTACCAAACTCAAAATTTTATGTTTTTAAGTTCATCTATTTCCTAAGAATAGCACTTCACTTCTTTTCTTTTGAAAACATTAAATGAAGTGCAATAAATAGGAGAGAGATGATCCAGGCATACCTTCAACAATTTCTTTCTTACTCCCTTAATTTTTATTTTTATTTTTTTTGTTTCACTTTAACTTGAGGTTTTGAATGGTGAGACAAATTTAACACCTGACTCAATACCTGTGTGCTAATTCTAATTTTAGTTTTATTGGTCTTCGTGACTCCTAGACTAGAAGTCAATTTATTTACATGATATCATACTCTCAAAGTTCCATAATATTTTTCTAAGATGAATGATCGCTTCCGGGACTACCTGGCAACAAATTTGGTGCCTGCAAAATTTATCATATCTAAAGGATTTAATACCTCAAAACATTGTTTACTAGAACTGGGACCTTGTCTGCCCAGTGATGAATAAGGTATTATATGCCTTATTAAGTCTATCTGAAACCCTTTCTTGTTTTTCACGAACATCAACCGTCAAAATTGCTCCATTTATTAGCCCACATAAAACAACATTCCCCTGCAGCAAAATAAAAAACAGATATATTTCAGATATTGTAGGCAATTGATTGACAAAGAAAGTCTGTAGTGACAAATGGCAATAATCCATTGTAATTATGTTCCATGTGCCTCGTGATCTTCAAAATGAGATTAAATTTATGAATGAAATAATGGGCAGAAAGCCATCCAGATTACCATACCACTAGCAGTTTGAGACGTCAGCAAGCCAACCTAAACTTTAGAAATAGAATCAATTTCTTTTTCCATCATTTTCAGCCTGTCGAAGCTGCTAAACCACAGATATAAATGCAAGATGGCAACTTTGTCACTTTCGTCTACCCATCAGATAGCAGCCCTTCTATGGGTTCTTTAGGTAGCATTTAGTTGCTGTTTTAGGACAGAAAAAACAAAGACAGTAGAGACAGGAGGGGCATGTCTCTCATGAACTTCGGAAGTACAAAAATTCCCTCCAAGATTATAACATAGACAAATTTATAAATTTATTTTATGTCTCTGTCTTTGTCTCTTTAATCAAACATATTTTTGTCCCCATTGTCTCCATCTCTTTTTTCCTAAGATGGTAACCAGATGCCACCTTAGAGAATGATTCAGTTTGTGGATACTGAACATTTGACCAAATAAGTCCGGTTTGGTTTTAGCTCTAGGTTCAGGGGAAAATATGCTTTATCAACTTATCAAACCATTTTCACTTCTTTAACAATCATAGTACAGTCATGTGAGATGATAATATGCTGGTGGCCATGAGGCAACTTAATGCAGGTGTTGTACCAAAAAGATTAGAATGTTACCGATGGATCGAGCTGTTGAGACAAAACATCACATTTGCTTCTACACACCCACGATGCCATTCCAGTTTCCAAATTGACCAGGGCAGCTCCTAGATTTGTTCCTGTAACATCCAGAATAAACAAAAATGTTAATTCATGAAAATAACATAGAATTAATGTCAATGCATTGTAGCTATCCCTGAACTCCTACCAAACTAATCATTAACACCCAGGTGGTCAATTATAGATACATACTGGAACTGGCAAGTTTCTATTTACCTTTTTAAAGCATCAATCTGAATGAGAAAAGAACTAAACTAAACCTGATAACATGCAAAACTCCAAGACACAATTTTCTAGATAAGTTCTATTTCCTGACTCCAGAGTAGTGAACATAACACATATCTAAGCTAATTTCAAGACTGATAAGCTACAATAAAAACAAGACAGGAAAAAAAAACCAAAAGAATACTCGTCAATCACTGCCTGACTTGAGTTAGGATTGCAATCTGCAGTCCAAATGGTGCAATTGAAAGATGCAGCCTTAAACAGCATTCGACCTATAGCAGAACTTGAATCAAAATTGACTGGTTCAACAAGGTTAAGAATATAAACAGATCCTTCAGATGTCTCTGATCCGAGATTAGTTATCCTGTTTCCTTAAATTAAGGAATTACAAGCGTGAAATAGAATTCCCTGCTTTCACAACAAAACAGTAAATAACAAGTATGATAAGTGAAAAGGGAATGGCTAAAGCAAACAAGATGTGCCAAGAGTAAATTGGAAATACATAAGTTACAAAGACGACCAATTTAAAAGAAAACACTACAGCAAGACCCAAATTTGACAGAAGGCCATATTTGCGCGCTACACCCAGGGAGATCTCTGTATCTTATAACATTGAGATTTCCAGGAAGGAAATGACAGCTTTTAGACTGGGAAAAAAATCATGCTAATTAAGGTTGACGACAACCAAGACAAACAAATATGTCAAATATCCTGAACAATCAGGACAGTGAAATAAAAAATGGGATAAACAACTTCAATTGCACATATATTGAGTTGTGATTTTTAAAAGAAAAACCATATGTACATGTAAATTAAAAGCAATGGACAACTAATTTAAGTACAGCATGAAATTCAAGATTAGGAAAGTTACTCACACCAAAAAAAAAAAAAATTCCTTCAATCTCTTTGGGAGCAAAACATGCAATATAAAATGATGGAAATTCTATCTTTTGCCACACCATTTTGCTTTCTTTTTTGAGGTGAACACCACAACATTTTACTATTGAGCTACAACTCAAGCTCTCAAACTGAAAGATCACAAACTTTCGTACCTTTTTAGAGCATTTCGAATTTATTAAGTAAAAGCAGGTTCTTCTTAAACCAGAAATAGCATAGCATATGAAACACATGCACGAAGAGAAAATAATTGACCAATGAAGTCCCAAAATTTGGGAAGTGCAAATGTTACTGAAAGAAAGAATGGAAAGTGATAAATATGCCAAATCACCTGAAAGGGGTTAGAAGAATTGTAAACGATATAAATAAAGTAATTGATTTTATTAATCCTTTGCTTCTCATAATACTCGTGTATGAAAAGGCATCCAATTTTGATCAATTACGACTAATGTGCACATAACCCTCAGTCCTGCAAAGCTAGGAAGAAGGAGCAAGTATTGGAGTTGAGATTCTACCTTTTCCATAAAAGAAAATTAAAAGCAGACCTAATGTAGGAGCACACTACTGGACACATTGCAATATATGTCATCAAAGGGTAAATTTTTCCAGGCAGCCGAAATATAAACATGCTTGAGGATAGGGCTTAGAAGCTGTAGTCCCCAAGCCATACGCGCACACACACACACACACACACAAGAAACACTGACCTGGTTATTGGCTGTGGATGGCATTGTTTGTAGAAGAAGAAGAACCCGGAATTGAACCTTTAAGAGGGGAATACCGATTCTTCTCTTTATCATAATAACACCCCAGAAGTTCTGGCAGCAACTTATTACTATTAATAACAAATCAAATTAAGAAGAAGAAACATTGTGGCATGCTTTCCCAAGTAATAAAGAACTGTCTTTGTGAGCGTGTTCTTCGTTTGTTTGGGCTGCGGAAGAAAGAGAAATCAAGGGAGAAGCATGCGGTGGGTAACGGCGCTCTTTTCTTTTTTTTTGATATTGATGTCCGGGCTAGCTTACATATATTTTAAAATAATTGCTGATAATTATATGTAACTAATGTTCCATCTCGGGTGGTTGGTTCGAGTTCGATCCCAGCTGATCTACCTCAAAAGTAAATAACAACAAAAACCCCGTTTAGGTCGTGTGGTGTTGGGTCGGGTTTACCTAGCGTTGGTTTATACAAAGTTATCAAACCCAATTTAATAGTTGACCGGCCAAGAAATTGGGTATTAAGTTACATAAGTTATTCGGATGAATCTCAAAAATTAAATATTTTTTTTAATTTTAATATTTTATATAAAAAATTAAAAAATAATTTATAAAGATATCTATATATTATACATGTTCTAAATAATAAAGTTTAAAATATTATTTCAAAAGGTTTTTTATTCTACATTAAAAAAATATTATGGTATTTTTTTAAGTTAAAGTATTTAAACTAAATTTTTTTTATTATACATTAAAAAATAAAATTTTTTTATAAATATAGAATATATATATTAAAAAATTTCAAATCCTACATCGATAAAATAAAATAATTTTTTAGTGAAATTTTAAAAAAGTTAATAATCAATTAAAAAATATATATAAAAAAAGATTTTAGAAAAAAAATAATCTCTATCTAGTTTTTTTTTTATTAACATGGGTGTCCGGGCTAGCTTGCCTGCATCACGACTAATCTCACGGTTCACTGAACATCCTGCAAGCCTAGTGAATAGGTAAAGTACTGCGGGGCTGACAAGCATACCGTGCAAGGAGGGATCCAGTAGAGACACGAATAAAAAAACCCTCCAGCTTCATTCCCCTAAAACTAAAACCAAATTGGAATGAAGAAGAGCGATCCAAACAACTACTGAGCCACAACTCTGCTGGTCTCTATCTAGTTTTAATATATTGTCTGGTTGCGGGTTAACTTTTTTTTTTTACTCTTATTAGCCTTTAATTTTACCTAAATTAGTCTATTTGCTAGCTCAATCAGATTCCGAAACAACCACGAACCTGAGCTGGATTTAATATATCCATGGGCTTACATGAAAGAACATTATTCGGTTTGATACGACTACTAAATCGAATAATTGTTAGACTGGATTGAAGATTACCTTAACCTCCTAAAAAGATACGAGCTGAAATAAATTCGTGAGCTGATATAAACAGTGAAGTAGGTGATTTAAAAAAAAATAAAACTCTTGATTTTTTTATGTTCATCCGAGATGGATTTAAACTAATGAAATTAACTAAATAACCTTCATGGTTGTATTAATTATTTTTAAATATATTATAATCATTGATATAATATTACTACTAATTCACTGGCTACTCTTTTTTTAATATATATATATCATTAATTATCACTGTCACAATTACTTTATTATTTTTATCATCATCACGAGTTAAATTATTTGTCCTTTTCGTCTTAAAAACGAGGAATTAAGAATTTAAAATTTTGTTTTGATTTTTGGCTACCATTCATGCAATTAAAATGCCATTTTAATTTTTTTATTCATATTTAAATTACTCCTCCGACCTTTCATTCCTTAGATCCAAACGATGGCAGAAGATTTTGATTTCATGTAATTTTTTTTTTTACGATGGGTATGTATTTGTTATGAATTTATTTTGTGTTAAATGTTTTTTCTTTTCATTGAACCGACAGCCAAATTGAAATTTCACTTTCAATTAAAAATTATTCTTTTTAATGAGTCTGAAAAGTTCTAAGATTTACTTTATTGCATGGATAGGTACAACAAAAAAAAAATTATTATTTACTCGTTCCAATCACTCACATATATTATATTTGTCATAAGGAAAATATTAGGCCTAATTACAAGAATATCCTTTGATTATAATGAGACTCCAAATCAACTTATTGCTTAAAAATTAAAAAAGAAAAGGAAAACGTAAAAAAAGCAATGTTCAATAAATTAGTTGTTGGATGTTAAGAATTTTTTTTTTCCAAGAATTATATGACTAAGTGATGGAAATTATGATAGAAGAAAAGGAACTTGTTCATTTCTTATTCTTTTTATCTTTTAATTCCTTACATAGAATATTTACCAACATAATGGTTCGTTAATATTTTTTTCATTATTTTCTTAAAAAATAAAAATTTTAATTATGAATGAAAATCATTATATATATCATTAATAGAAGATTAAATATTATAATTTTTTAAAAAAAATTATAATGATATTACCAATAATTTTGATTTTCTTTCATTTGTCTTCAAATATTCCAACAAATCTATTAACACAATCTAGCATTTAAGTGGAGTGATTATGGAGATTTTTGTTCACGATTTAATGATAAAATATCCAAAATCTTCATGGTTTATTGTAATAGATGAAAAATAAAAGAATTAAAAAAAGCCCCTCTCTGGCTGATGGAAATCTCGTACGTGTTGTTGCTATTATTAGCAGTCGGGCCTCACATGATTGGTAATAATTTACCTTTTTACACATTTTACTTTTTATTAAAAAAATTAATTGTAAGAATGAGCAGCACTTCTAGAAAACATTACACGTATATTTGGGAGGAATCCAACCTACACCTATCTCAGAAGAATGATGCTAATCAAACGCAGATATATGATTTTTCAAAAAATTCAACGACAAGACTCAACTACGAGACATCAAACAAATGAATTTAGTTTTATTGATAAAACAATAGTTATGATAAATTCAGAACCTTTAACAGTCTCAAATCTTAAAAAATCAAAATTAAAGCTCAACCTAAATTCTTGGTAAGCTAATCCTAGATGAAACCTAAGTTTTTAATATATCTTTATTTTTTAATAAATCTAAAAAATATAAAATTAATTTATAAATATTTAGCTTTATTTTTTTAATAGACTATATTTTCGTAAATTATTTCTTAATTTTTTGATATGCAATATCTATACTACACTTCATATCTCATATTTATTTTTTATAGTTTATATCCACATAAGTTATTTTTTATTTTTTTTAATGTGAGATAACTAAACTATATTTCATACCTTATATTTTTTTTAATAGTTTATATTCATATGAATTACTTTTTAATTTTTAGATATGCATGTAATAACTATAGTATACTTCATGTCTTATATTTTTTTTATAACTTATATTTACGTGTATTGTTTCAAAACTTTTTTATATAAGATATTAAATCTCTTTTTTTTTTTTTCAAGTTGATTTGAGTCACTCCATGTGACTTGGGATTGAGCTTTTTGGCCTACTCAATTCCAGATGGAGATTAACAACTATAAGTTCAGCTAAACCTTTAGGAGCTTTTACACTTGTTACTTCAAAATAATATGAACCAATACAATATATTTCTATTCGGATAATTGAAATTGATAAAAAAAAAATCATTTTAAAGAATGATAGTTGAAAGAACCTGTAGGTACTGTAATTAATTTGTGAAATTGATGATGGAGAGGGAATTCAAAGTGCAATCTTGAAGAATAATTTAAACATAGAACCCAAAGTCTTCCCTCCCTAATATTTGCCAAGGCAGTGGCATTGATCATCATGCGTCATTTTTGGTTTGAATACAGCGCCCTTAATTTAATCAATTTGTAGCTAGCTAGAAAGGGGTGAATTACCACCAAACTACAAGACTGACAGCATCGTGTCTCCTTGAATAATATCGTAGGTTGTCTTTACAAGTCTTTGTTGTTGTTTTGGTGGACAAAAGGTCTCTGTTTTAAAAAGGGAAACAATACTTTTTGTGTAAAAATAGCCCTAGCTCGGTACAAATCGTTATTTTCGAAACGGTTTTAAGCATGGAATTACAAGATATATTAATTATTTTCACAAACCATTACATAAATTAAACACGAGAAAAGAAAATCCAATTATAATTATATTGTGTTCATCAATGTATTAAATTCAGATCCTTTTAAGAAGTTAGGAAACTGTGAACTGTAAATTAAAGATTTTCTCATAGGAAAAAAAAAAAAACAAAGAAAGAAGCTAGCGAGACACAATGATTTAGATTAAAAAAAAAAAAAAAAGAGGGGGGGAAATTAACAAGAGAAGGGACGTCACTTAATTATTGGATACAAATTTACAAAGCCTTCTTCCGTACTACTCCATCGCAATCCAAGCTACAGAATTAATTAGTCCATCTGGCTAGAAACTATACTTCAAACAATAATACATGAAAAACCCATTGCTTTAACTCTTCATAACGTCTTTCGGAATATATTACGTACTGCTACTTACCAATACCATTCACAAGCATACGAGTACTAGTTTGAAACATTTCTGCAGAATGAAATTTCTCATCGCCACACCAATCACTTTTTCTCTTGCAAGGCCCATGAATCCCATGCAGGTTGAACTATGGGACTGGGGTTATAGTACATCCCACAAGGCAATAGAGTAGACTCCACAAAATCAAAATCGAAGGTGGAAGTTTCAAATGAAGCATCCATATTCTGCCCAGCACTTATTAACTCATTGGCCTTCTCAATGGTTTCCACTTGCTGTTCTGGCTGATCTTTTTCAGGTTTTATTGATTGAATGAGTTCATAGCCACCAGCCCACATGCAGCTCTCATCTAGCATGCCAAACTCAGATGGATGTGAAGTAGAAGAGGATAGAGGGACACTTCCGATTGAAGACATGCTTCCAGACTCCAGGGAAGCTAGTGTATTAGGGTTTTGGTATTCACATGTTGATACGGAAGAGAATTTGTTCAACAAGGGGGGACATGGAGGATTAGTATCAGGAACTGGGGGAATCATAGGGAATGGAATGAGGGTTGCTTTCATATCCATTGAAATATCATTAATTTGTGAATCTACTGTGAAAGTTGAGGTGGTTTGTTGATGGGAATATTGATAAGAGAGTTTGCATGCATTATTGTTATTGTTATGTTTGTAATTATTAGAGAGGAGATTATGAGTTTTTGGATCTAACCCTTGTGCAATGAGCTTCTTTTTGATGCACGAGTTCCAGAAGTTCTTGACCTCGTTGTCAGTTCTACCAGGCAAATGCTT